TGCTTCAGATCTTTTCTTAAATCCTTAGCACAGAAGTCACATGGAAAAGTCTACAATATAAAGGATGGTAAGGATATGAAAGTTTTGGTAAAGCAATGAAGGAAAAAACCACAAGAAGAAGATCTGGAAGAATCTCACTTTAGACAAACTATCCATGAACTGAAAAGCCGTCTTCTTCTGTTCTTCATTAGGATTTTCGGGATAATAAACGCTCATAGTGTGAAGAAGATTCCATGTTGATCGACCTTTAGTTGACTTTGAAACCGTTGCACCAAAACTACAGTGACTCACCAAGCTCGTCTTTGTCAACAGGACATTCTTTGAGATCATGAGAAGATGAAACAGTAGTGGGAGACGGATCCGCTGGTGTGGAGTTTGAGGCGCCTTCAAAGGGAATATCACGCTCGCAGCAACATCATGCAAGGCAGAAATAATGTTACTGCTACGAAGGCTTACCTGCTTGGCTTGCCTTCTTATTGGCGATATCCCTAGCACGCTTCATGAGTTCTTCAACACTAACACAAGCTCTGCACGGTTTTCCGTCAGGACCTATTTCCATAACTGTATAACGTTATGGGAGTAGGCCGTCGTATAAACTACTACAAAAACATAAGCTGGCAATATCTTCATATAAAAAGAGACTACTTCAAATGAGTGCATAAAAAATCAAATCTTTCAGATTTTTCGCCACTCCTTAACAACATCAATAAAATTAATCGAACTCACGGTAAATATGGAAGATTAAGCAGTGTTTCAACAGATTCAGAATAGCTGAAATTAGATTAGATACACTCTTTAGCTGATAACATCAGAACAGAAAGACTAAATACTTTTTAAAAAAACACAACTGTACTACAAATGTCAGATAGAACTGCCAAACAGTCATATGACATAACTTACCTTTAGCAGATAAAGCTCGCGAAGTATGGTTTCCCTTTCGACAAGATATGTTCTCGACGAATGGAAGGCATTTATTTCTTTGGCGCAAAGCGTATTAATTCTCGACGGGTTATCACAACACCATCTGCAGTGCTCAGTAGAAGACTAGGAAACAATAACTTAACTGAGATAACTATATCTTTAAATCAGGGGAACCACTTTCGAGGCTGTTACAATATTTGGAAAAAGAGAAAAGTGACCTGCCTACGATATGGTATATAGAGAAAAGCAAATGATGATCAAACAATCACTCTTTATCATCACAGAAGGTACAATGGTCCCAGAA